AGCAAGCCCTGACTTGGAGCACAGTGACAACTCAACCCCTCCTAAAACCCCAGAGGCACCCTTCTACACACAGCACCCCAGATTCGCTGTCAGGCCAGCCTATCGGCATGTACCATCCCCTTACCCGCAACAACAAGGAGCCACCTTTGGTGGAACAGCAAGGTTCTCCCCAAAGCCATATGCTGCTCCAGCCCCCACCTTCCCCCAGCATGTGGCCCCACTCTACACATTTACTCCAACAGCCCCATCACTCGTTCCAGGGCCAATCTCGCATGCAGTTGCACCCAAAATGCCTGTGGCAACTTCCTCTGTGCCTGAAGTGACAATGACCGCTGCTGCTCAAGTTGCTCCTCCAGTCCCTGCTCCAGTTGCTCCTGTCACTGTCATTTCTGCTGCCACACAACCTACTCTTCGACTAGCCCCTGTAGTAGTAATACACTGCAAAAGTCCAAGTCCACGGTTTAAAGCTACCGAAGCTACACTAAAAGCACCCAAACCCATGTTTGATGTCCCTCAAATAAGGGTATATACTGCATCTAAGTCCCCCCTGCATGATTACACTGGAAAGACATTTACTGCAGACACATTACCTCGGAGTAAAACACCCACATCAGACATCAGAAGAGTAATAACACCAACAGCTGAAATCAGAAGGAGTGCAACACCGGCATCTGAAGTGAAAAGCCGTTTAACTCCGACATCAGAAATCAAAAGGGTTGCAACATCTGAAATGAATCAAGGTACAACGCCGACATTGGAAATCAAAAGGAGTGCAACACCTACATCTGGGGTAAAGAGAGGTTTAACGTCCAGACCTGAAATCCAAAGGAGTGCAACGCCTACATCTGAAGTGAAAAGAGCTAAAACGCCAACTCATGACTTTTTAACACCAAGAACTCATTTAGGTCGACCTAAGACACCCTCATATCATGTGTCCCGTGTCAAAACACCTGTTATTGAAATATCAAGACCCAACCCACTTTTATTTGCTGTCTCACCCATTACTACAGAGGCACAGAGATCTAAAACACCAACACCTGGTTCTAATTCTGCCAGTCCATCTTTGTCTGGTTCTCAAAATCTGACAACCTCTGAGCCTGAGCCTTCAAAATCACCATCAACTAGTCAGGGTGCAAGAACTCAGAATGGGGACGTGACGTCAAAAGAGACTCCTACAGCTAAATCACCTCCTGAAAACACTTCAAAACCAGAGGCTCCTCGACAAGAAGCTCCAATAGTTGAGTCTACCAGACCAAAGACCCCTACAGCTCCATTAGGCTATCAAAGACCCAAGACCCCAACAAATGTCACACCAACTCCTACAGCACCCTCATATCAAAGACCCAAGACTCCAACCAAAGAAACACTAAAGTCTACAGCACCCTCAGATGGGTATCAAAGACCCAAGACCCCAACCAAATGTCACACCAAAACCTACAGCACCCTCATATCAAAGGCCCACGACTCCAACCAAAGAAACACTAAAGTCCTACAGCACCCTCATATGGGTACCAAAGACCCAAGACTCCAACCAAAGAAACATCAAAACCTACAGCACCCTCAGATGGGTATCAAAGGCCCAAGACGCCAACAAATGTCACACCAACTCCTACAGCACCCTCATATCAAAGACCCAAGACTCCAACCAAAGAACACTAAATCTACAGCACCCTCAGATGGGTATCAAAGGCCCAAGACGCCAACAAATGAGACACCAAAACCTACAGAAGTCTTAGATGGATATCAAAGGCCCAAGACTCCAACAAATGAGACACCAAAGCCTACAGCACCCTCATATGGATATCAAATGCCCAAGACTCCCTCAAATGAAGGGCCTAAACCTATGACTTCAACAATTGGGTATCAAAGGCCAACAACACCAGCAGTTGGGTATCAAAGACCACAACCACCTGCAGGGTATCAAAGACCAAAGACTCCCACAGCTGGGGTATCATCCATAGGATTTCAAAGGCCCAAGACACCAACATATGTGGCCCCTAAACCAACCCATACATATTATGGGTTGACTCCTGCTGCATATGTTGCCCATGGTGGAATCCAAAGTTTCTCACCTTCATTCGGCATATCCAGGTATAAGACGCCGGCTCTAGAGGAATCTAAAACTCCAACGCAAGAGTTGGAAGGATCTAAAATACCTAACCAAGAGTTAGCTAAAACATCTTCCCAAGAGTTACTTGTAAAAACACATCCTTTGCCCATGGTGTCCAACCAGGAAGCATCCTCCAAAGAGCAGGAAATAATAACTTTAAATGAGGCCATAGTATCCACGACTCCAGCAGTGAAACTTCTGATTCCAATCATTGTTGTTACACAAGCTGAAGATGTCTCAGAACCAAGCATATCCACAGCTGTGACCAGTAAAATGCAAACTCCTTTTGCAGAAACGCTAAATGTTAAAGCTGTGGCCCACACAAGACCATGGGCTAAAACTCCAACACCTGAGATTAGGAAACCAGAGGTTAAAACCCCAGTGAAAACCCCAACTTATGGAGCCACCCCAAAACCCAAGACACTCACCCCAGAAACCCAACACCCTGTGCTTGCTGCTGCAAACAAAGATGCCAGCAAGACAATACCTCCTGTCTCAAAAACAGAATATCCTGTGGCTAAAGCCAGTGTGGCACAACAAAAAGACTTAAAGGAATCAACAGAGCCTAAAACGCCCACCAAAGCAACCTCTGAGGCTAAACCAGCAGGGACAAAGCCTTCGGGGGCTGTTCAGTCTCCGACTAAATCAAAGGATAACCAGGAAGCCCAACCTGAAAAGGTGGTATCAGCTCCAACCACACCATCAACAGAGAAGGAAGTGGGAAAATACTCTTTCCCAGCAGCTGAACCAATTCTTAAAGTGATCCAAAAGCCAAAGGGCATGATGAAGTCTAAACTTAGTGGTTGGTCACGGCTCAAGAAGCACATGGTGGTGGAAGAAGAACCACATACGTTCCCAGAATCAGATCCTATGAAAGAAACCGCAAAGGGAACTGAGCAGGAGGGAGGTGAAGTGAAAAAGGATGAAAAGGGGTCATTTAAAGACATGGTGGCTGCCGTAACAGCCGACGATCCTCCCAAGGCAGCGAAGAAGTGGGATTCTCTTCTCTTCGATATGTTCTCCTCTAAAGAGAAGATTATGCAGGTGATTGAAGCTAGCAAAAGTGAGGAGGAGAAAAAAGAGCAGCCAAAGGAAACACCAAAAGAAATCCCATCTTTCGCCCATCGTCTGCCTGTCCTCCTTTTCAGCCCAAGGTTTGATGCCAAAAAGCTAAGAGAGGCTGCATCAAGGCCACTTACAAAAATTTCGACAGTGTTTGAGATGGGTCTCATAGGGCGTAAAAATAAAGATGAGGAACCAAAAGACTTTAACAGAACAGCTAGAGCGTTCACTTGTCCTTAAACCATGTCTCTTTGGACTGGTAAAGATGAAACAGAAGAACATTTTGAACAATTTGGTTAAGTGTTTTATGTGTACAGGTGTAGAAATAGTAGTCATAATGTACAGGTCCTGTGTAATAGTCTCTCTGCTTGACACAGGATACAATATTTAAGACGGTCTCTTAGAGAATGTGGTCTGAACTTTATACTTGAGCACCGATTGTTCTGTCGTCTGACTACGTTACGGATATGTCTGAACGTCCCTTTCTCTGATAGTATGAAAATATTACCTTGAAAATCAGAGAATAAGGGAAAATATATTTTGTCTTAAAGGAATTCAGACATCTCATGAGATTAAAATGTACAAAGATTAAGTAAATCTCAGAATTTCTTTTTTGTCCACTGTTAAAACATTTTAGGAGAATGAATGGCTTTTTCAGACCTCTTCACATCTTTTTTTCAAACGTGGTCCTGAGACTGTAGTGTAATGTACTTAGGTACACCACCTACTGAAAACTAGACTGTACAGTATATTGATGCAGGATTTGGGTATCTGAAGAAATTTGATTCCAGGGCATTCAGAGTAATGTTTCCAAATAAGGATGAAAAAGGGAGGAGAGGATGAAAGTAGTAGGAGTGTATATTTCCCCAAATGGTACTATTTACGTAAGTTTTTCAAATAGACTTTAGATACTCAGGCGCTTCTTAGAAGTTAGAATGTTTGAGTAGACTGCATATGCTTATGCCAGCTTTGCTTTCTTCCTTTTTAGGAGTACAGGTTAGTGAGAATGTTATTTGAAAAATTGGGTTGCTAACTCCTGGGGGGATGAGGCAACTCTATGAAGGAAGTGTTTGACTGTTGGCATGGATGGATGAGGGGTCAGGGGGAGGCCTTGTGGGATATGGAGGCAAGTGATGATAAATGCGATGAAAAATGTATACAGTAAGTACTTAGGGACGAATCCTAATTTGAGATCCACAAATTTCCCATTGACATCAATGCAGGATTAACGTGAAAGTAAAATTGAATGAAATAGCATATTTCACACACAGTTTTCAAATATGCAGCTTTCAAACGAGGGACCCAGAAGGGTCAAGATCTGACAGTGACATTTGACCTTAAGGTTCTCTAGGTTCGTAAGCTTGTTATTGATGCTTTACATTTTATTTTCATGCATAGTCTATATAAAAAGATTAAGAACATTGTCTCCTATTGACAGAGTGATGTTCAACCATTTTGCAATCTGATGTTTATCTGTATAAGTGTACAGTAAATGTTATTTTCTATATATTTTTGATAAAAGAGAAAATTAAAAAAGAGCTTGAATAGGAACATGACATAGAAAGTTCATCTTGAACTACAGAATGAAATAGAGAAAATGTATTCTGTAGTGAAGATAATGGGCAGAACAAGGTCAAGGGCAAAGCTATTGCCCTTTTGGTGTTTGATAAAAGTAATATTATTGAATTGTAGCTGGTATTTTGTAGATATAATTGTTTTATTTTTATCTGCAGGACCAGCAGAATAAAAAGGTGTTTTTTGCCTAAGAAAATATGAGTTATTATTGGACTACTCATGGTATTTACAGTAATGTTTTTAAAGTGTATAATTATTGTATAGACCCAGTCATCTCACCTGCTTTTCCATTAATGTATTCATACATATTTTCATCATCATCAACAGGAATCTTCTCATATTTGCCATGAGCAGTCATCACAAATTTGTACCTTTTACCAGATGGATTGCCCTGAAAAGCATAGGGACTGATTTAGAACAGAGATCATTTGCCACAGTATATTATACACTGAGTTTGCCAAAGAATATTCAAATACTGTACGTGAGTATCAATGTGTGTATGTCTGCGTGCAAGCGTGCGTGTGAGCGTGCTCACCTTTGCCCCTGCTCCTGATCTCCCAGGGGATGTTTCTCCAATGATCTCCCACATGTTCTTTTTCTGCATCACGTCACCAGCTTTTACATCCTGGGGAATGAACAGCACCAAACAGCAACTCAGCTGTATATCAAATGCTTTTGGGAGCCATGCGAGACAAGCAACCCTCTTGGCTTTGGTTCTGAACCACCACAATAGAATACACCCCAGAAGGGGGCAGCCTTGGATAAAGCTGACTGCACACACGCTTCTCTGATTCTCTGCATGCCTGTACACAGCTGTACTACAAACACTTACATGTAGAATAGTTCAGAAGGAGAAAAGGAGAGGATAGGGAATGAGAGTGAAAAGAGCAGTTACCTTGAGTAGGGAGGACATGAAGACAGTTGAAATAAGAAGACTGAGGAAGGAAAGTAAAGGAAGTAGATACACAAATGTTTCACTAATGCTGTATTTTGGATTCAGTCTCTGTAAAGGGGATGAGAGTGAAATCGTACAACATTGTTCAACCTTAAGCCACCTCTGTAAAGGGGATGCCAGTGCTATAGAATAGTGACAGGGAAGCAGTTGGTGGTAGTGTATATTCCACAGGTAATCTTGTGGGCAGAGTACATAAACATAAATGGTACCATAGATCTGTCTTTATACTATGGACACTGATAGCTAATGAGGAGCAATAGTTCCGGTGCTTGGGTTTTTCGTCACTGGTTATTTGGACAACTCATGATTTTGCAGGTGTTAGCATCTTTCGAATTTCGTAAAGGGAGGGACATTCGGCCCATAAACTTGCCCGTATCTTGCAAAGAGAGAGGGTGGAGCTCCTCGTTCCTGTTCCGCTCCTTGTTCTAACATAACTTAATCTCTTCTCTTAACACTTATGGACCCAGAACTTAATCAAGAAGCTGACCAATTAGCTACGCAAGTCTTTAGTTCTCGGTTAACCGAGATTACTCCACAGGTGGAGACTGGTGAAATGCAGAGCCATATACAGTAAATGTATACGCATATATAGTGTAAATGGCTCTGGTCTGAGCTAAACTTACAGCTGGTCTTGGGGGGGAGTTCCTGCTGGTGCCATCTGGGTTTCCCTTCACCCACTGGGTGATCAGGTCTGCCACGCCCACCTTCAGACCCTCAACATCCTGCTGACACACACACAGACAGACGTCAACTCAAGCGTTCAACAAGACACTTCCATTCATTAGGCATTCCCTAGTCTCTTGTGACAGACTGTTACACATACAGTCGTGGTCCAAAGTTTTGAGAATGACACAAGTATTAGTCTTCACAAAGTTAGCTGCTTCAGTGTTTTTAGATATTTTTGTCAGATGTTACTATGGTATACTGAAGTATAATTACAAACATTCCATAAGTGTCAAAGGCTTTTATTGACAATTACATTAAGTTTATGCAAAGAGTCAATATTTGCAGTGTTGACCCTACTTTTTCAAGACCTCTGCAATCCGCCCTGGCATGCTGTCAATTAACTTCTGGGCCACATCCTGACTGATGGCAGCCCATTCTTGCATAAATCAATGCTTGGAGTTTGCCAGAATTTGTGGGGTTTTGTTTGTCCACCCGCCTCTTGAGGATTGACCACAAGTTCTCAACGGGATTAAGGTCTGGGGAGTTTCCTGGCCATGGACCCAAAATGTCGATGTTTTGTTCCCCTAGCCACTTAGTTATTACTTTTGCCTTATGGCAAGGTGCTCCATCATGCTGGAAAATGCATTGTTTGTCACCAAACTGTTCTTGGATGGTTGGGGAAATTATTTATTCGTTGCTGTGTTCTTAGGCAAAATTGTGAGTGAGCCCACTCCCTTGGCTGAGATGCAACCCCACACATGAATGGTCTCAGGATGCTTTACTGTTGGCATGACACAGGACTGATGGTAGCGCTCACCTTGTCTTCTCCGGACAAGCTTTTTTCCGGATGCCCCAAACAATCGGAAAGGGGATTCATCAGAGAAAATGACTTTACCCCAGTCCTCAGCAGTCCAATCCCTGTACCTTTTGCATAATATCAGTCTGTCCCTGATGTTTTTCCTGGAGAGAAGTGGCTTCCTCTCTGCCCTTCTTGACACCAGGCCATCCTCCAAAAGTCTTCGCCTCACCGTGCGTGCAGATGCACTCACACCTGCCTGCTGCCATTCCTGAGCAAGCTCTGCACTGGTGGTGCGCCGATCCCGCAGCTGAATCAACTTTAGGAGACGGTCCTGGCACTTGCTGGACTTTCTTGGGCGCCCTGAAGCCTTCTTCATAACAATTGAACCTCTCTCCTTGAAGTTCTTGATGATCCGATAAATGGTTGATTTAGGTGCAATCTTACTAGCAGCAAGATCTTTGCCTGTGAAGCCCTTTTTGTGCAAAGCAATGATGACGGCACGCCTTGCAGGTAACCATGGTTAACAGAGGAAGAACAATGATTTCAAGCACCACCCTCCTTTTAAAGCTTCCAGTCTGTTTTTCTAACTCAATCAGCATGACAGTGTGATCTCCAGCCTTGTCATGGTCAACACTCTCACCTGTGTTAACGAGAGAATCACTGACATGATGTCAGCTGGTCATTTTGTGGCAGTGTTGAATTTTTTTGTTGTTGGGGGGATTAAGTAAATTTTCATGGCAAAGAGGGACTTTGCAATTAATTGCAACTAATCTGATCACTCTTCATAACGTTCTGGAGTATATGCATATTGCCATCATAAAAACTGAGGCAGTAGACTTTGTGAAAATTAATATTTGTGTCATTCTCAAAACCTTTGACCACGACTGTACATGTAGCTGTCCAGCACACACAATATATTTGGTTTTGGGTGCAGAGATTGCAGAGGTTAGGTACAGTGCCTTGCAAAAGTCTTCATCCCCCTTGGCGTTTTTCCTATTTTGTTGCATTACAACCTGTAATTTAAATTGATTTTTATTTGGATTTCATGTAATGGACATACACAAAATAGTCCAAATTGGTTTAGTAGAATGAAAAATATAACTTGTTTCAAACATTTCTAAAAAATAAATAACGAAAAAGTGGTGCGTGCATTTGTATTCACCCCCTTTGCTATGAAGCCCCTAAATAAGATCTGGTGCAACCAATTACCTTCAGAAGTCACATAATTAGTTCAATAAAGTCCACCTGTGTGCAATCTAAGTGTCACATGATCTGTCACATGATCTCAGTATATATACACCTGTTCTGAAAGGCCCCAGAGTCTGCAACACCACTAAGGAAGAGGCACCACCAAGCAAGCGGCACCATGAAGACCAAGGAGCTCTCCAAACAGGTCAGGGACAAAGTTGTGGAGAAGTACAGATCAGGGTTGGGTTATAAAAAAATATTCAAAACTTTGAACATCCCACGGAGCACCATTAAATCCATTATTTAAAAAATTGAAAGAATATGGCACCCCAACAAACCTGCCAAGAGAGGGCCGCCCACCAAAACTCAGGGACCAGGCAAGGACGGCATTAATCAGAGAAGCAACAAAGAGACCAAAGATAACCCTGAAGGAGCTGCAAAGTTCCACAGCAGAGATTGGAGTATCTGTCCATAGGACCACTTTAAACCGTACACTCCACAGAGCTGGTCTTTACGGAAGAGTGGCCAGAAAAAAGCCATTGCTTAAAGAAAAAAATAAGCAAACACGTTTGGTGTTCACCAAAAGGCATGTGGGAGACTCCCCAAACATATGAAGAAGGTACTCTGGTCAGATGAAACTAAAATTGAGCTTTTTGGCCATCAAGGAAAACGGTATATCTGGAGCAGTTTTGCCTTGAAGAATGGGCAAGAATCCCAGTTGCTAGATGTGCCACGCTTATAGAGACATACCCCAAGAGACTTGCAGCTGTAATTGCTGCAAAAGGTGGCTCTACAAAGTATTGACTTTGGGGGGGTGAATAGTTTTGCACACTCAAGTTTTCATTTTTTTTGTCTTATTTGTTTGTTTTCACAATAAAAAATATTTTGCATCTTCAAAGTGGTAGGCATGTTGTGTAAATGAAATGATACAAACCCCCAAAAAATCCAGGTTGTAAGGCAACGAAATAGGAAAAATGCCAAGGGGTTGAATACTTTCGAAAGCCAATGTATCTCTCTTTTCATCCATATAAGGTTAAACACCATTAGGCTAGTTCAAGACTGCTACTCTGTGGCTGCATCCAGTCATTCAGACTTCCATGCAACTTCTCCCCAGTAACTTACTCTCCATTGTCCTATCACTCACCTCCTATGAAGCTAGCCTGTCTGCTACATCTGCGTGTAGGTTTGTTTTCTTTAGGGCTACTCCTGCGGTGAAAGCCATTAGGATGGTGCTAGTAAGGGGAGCGCATACCATATCTCTCTGTGGGAAGGTTAACAGCTACTGCTACATACTATTGAATACCTCTGAGGAACAGGAAAGAGGGGCTGGGGGAAACCACACATTTGTGGTAGAGAGTAAAAATAAACAACAGCCTTAAGGGCCTCTGATCTCTACCGCCGTGGCTCACAGGGTGTCTGTTATTCATTTTGCCCCAGGTCAAGTTGCCATGCCGTTTCTGGTTACCTCAAAGAACCCTGGCCTGCACACGATGAATGAGATGCAGTAATTAAACACATCAGGGAGAGAGAGTGAGGGGCTGTGGCCTGGGGTGGGAGGACTATAAACAGAGGTGTGAGATCACAACCATACAATAGCATGGAGAGGAGCATTGGGACAGATATAATTAGACATCTACACAGAGTGTAAATGTATTTTCAAAGAGCTAGCTAGGTATGTCTGTGTCTGTAGTCTACAGTATAACTCAAGAAAGCTACTGTATGTAAAGAGCATGTTTTGTATCCATACGCACCTCTGCTAAATTGTTGACGCCACTCCACTTTATATATATACACTACCGTTCAAAAGTTTGGGGTCACTTAGAAATGTCCTTGTTTTCGAAAGAAAATCATTTGTTTTGTCCATTAAAATAATATCAAATTGATCAGAAATACAGTGTAGACATTGTTAATGTTGTAAATGTCTATTGTAGCTGGAAACGGCTGATTTTTAATGAAATCTACATAGGCGTACAGAGGCCCATTATCAGCATCCCGGAGTCGCCTCTTCACTGTTGAGGTTGAGACTGGTGTTTTGCGGGTACTATTTAATGAAGCTGCCAGTTGAGGACCTGTGAGGCGTCTGTTTCTCAAACTAGACACTTTAATGTATTTTTCCTCTTGCTCAGTTGTGCACCGGGGCCTCCCACTCCTCTTTCTATTCTGGTTAGAGCCAGTTTGCGCTGTTCTGTGAAGGGAGTAGTACACAGCGTTGTACGAGATTTTCAGTTTCTTGGCAATTTCTCGCATGGAATAGCCTTCATTTCTCAGAACAAGAATAGACTGACAAGTTTTAAAATGATAAACTTGGATTAGCAAACACAACGTACCATTGGAACAAAGGACTGATGGTTGCTGATAATGGGCCTCTGTACGCCTATGTAGATATTCCATTAAAAAAAATAGCAGTTTCCAGCTACAATAGCCATTTACAACATTAACAATGTCTACACTGTATTTCTGATTAATTTGATGTTATTTTAATGGACAAAAAAATTGATTTTCTTTCGAAAACAAGGACATTTCTAAGTGACCCCAAACTTTTGAACAGTAGTGTGTATATATATATATATATATATATATATATATACACTGCTCAAAAAAATAAAGGGAACACTTAAACAACACAATGTAACTCCAAGTCAATCACACTTCTGTGAAATCAAACTGTCCACTTAGGAAGCAACACTGATTGACAATAAATGTCACAGGCTGTTGTGCAAATGGAATAGACAACAGGTGGAAATTATAGGCAATTAGCAAGACACCCCCAATAAAGAAGTGGTTATGCAGGTGGTGACCACAGACCACTTCTCAGTTCCTATGCTTCCTGGCTGATGTTTTGGTCACTTTTGAATGCTGGCGGTGCTTTCACTCTAGTGGTAGCATGAGACGGAGTCTACAACCCACACAAGTGGCTCAGGTAGTGCAGCTCATCCAGGATGGCACATCAATGCGAGCTGTGGCAAGAAGGTTTGCTGTGTCTGTCACGTAGTGTCCAGAGCATGGAGGCGCTACCAGGAGACAGGCCAGTACATCAGGAGACGTGGAGGAGCCCGTAGGAGGGCAACAAACCAGCAGCAGAACCGCTACCTCCGCCTTTGTGCAAGGAGGAGCAGGAGGGGCACTGCCAGAGCCCTGCAAAATGACCTCCAGCAGGCCACAAAAGTGCATGTGTCTGCTCAAACGGTCAGAAACAGACTCCATGAGGGTGGTATGAGGGCCCGACGTCCACAGGTGGGGGTTGTGCTTACAGCCCAACACCGTGCAGGACGTTTGGCATTTGCCAGAGAACTCCAAGATTGGCAAATTCGCCACTGGCGCCCTGTGCTCTTCACAGATGAAAGCAGGTTCACACTGAGCACATGTGACAGACGTGACAGAGTCTGGAGACGCCGTGGAGAACGTTCTGCTGCCTGCAACATCCTCCAGCATGACCGGTTTGGCAGTGGGTCAGTCATGGTGTGGGGTGGCATTTCTTTGGGGGTCCACACAGCCCTCCATGTGCTCGCCAGAGGTAGCCTGACTGCCATTAGGTACCGAGATGAGATCCTCAGACCCCTTGTGAGACCATATGCTGGTGCGGTTGGCTCTGGGTTCCTCCTAATGCTAGACCTCATGTGGCTGGAGTGTGTCAGCAGTTCCTGCAAGAGGAAGGCATTGATGCTATGGACTGGCCCGCCCGTTCCCCAGACCTGAATCCAATTGAGCACATCTGGGACATCATGTCTCTTTCCATCCACCAACGCCACGTTGCACCATAGACTGTCCAGGAGTTGGCGGATGCTTTAGTCCAGGTCTGGGAGGAGATCCCTCAGGACACCATCCGCCACCTCATCAGGAGCATGCCCAGGCGTTGTAGGGAGGTCATACAGGCACGTGGAGGCCACACACACTACTGAGCCTCATTTTGACTTGTTTTAAGGACATTACATCAAAGTTGGATCAGCCTGTAGTGTGGTTTTCCACTTTAATTTTGAGGGTGACTCCAAATCCAGACCTCCATGGGTTGATACATTTGATTTCCATTGATAATTTTTGTGTGATTTTGTTGTCAGCACATTCAACTATGTAAAGAAAAAAATATTTAATAAGATTATTTCATTCATTCAGATCTAGGATGTGTTGTTTAAGTGTTCCCTTTATTTTTTTGAGCAGTGTATATACATACTGAACAAAAATATACACGCAACATGTAAAGTGTTGGTCCCATGTTTCATGAGTTGAAATAAAAGATTCAAAAATATTTCATATGAACAAAAAGCTTATTTCTCTCAAATGTTGTGCACATTTGTTTACATCCCTGTTAGTGAGCATTTATCCCTTGCCAAGATAATCCATCCACCTGACAGGTGTGGCATATCAAGAAGCTGATTAAACAGCATGATCATTACACAGGTGCACCTTGTGCTGGGGACAATAAAAGGCCACTCTAAAATGTGCAGTTTTGTCACACAACACAATGCCACAGATGTCTCATGTTTTGAGGGAGCGCGCAATTGGCATGCTGACTGCAGGAATGTCCACCAGAGCTGTTGCCAGATAATTTAATGTTCATTTCTCTACATTGCTGTGGGTGAGTGGTTTGCTGATGTCAACGTTGTGAACAGAGTGTCCCATGGTGGCGGTGGGGTTATGGTATGGGCAGGCATAAGCTACGGACAACGAACACAATTGCATTTTATCGATGGCAATTTGAATGCACAGAGATACTGTGACGAGATCCTGAGGCCATTCATTCGCTGTCATCACCTCATGTTTCAGCATGATAATGCACGGCCCCATGTTGCAAGGATCTGTACACAATTTCTGGAAGCTGTAAATGTCCCAGTTCTTCGATGGCCTGCATACTCACCAGACATGTCACCCATTGAGCATGTTTGGAATGCTCTGGATCAACGTGGATGACAGCGTTTTCCAGTTCCTGCCAAAATCCATCAACTTTGCACAGCCATTGAAGAGGAGTGGGACAACATTCCACAGGCCACAATCAACAGTCTGATCAACTCTATGCAAAGGAGATGTGTTGCACTGCATGAGGCAAATGGTGGTCACACCAGATACTGACTGGTTTTCTGATCCACGCCCCTACTTTTTATTTTTTAAGGTATCTGTGACCAACAGATGCATATCTGTATTCCCAGTCATGTGAAATCCATAGATTAGGGCCTAATGAATTTATTACAATTAACTAATTTCTTTATATGAACTCTAACTCAGTAAAATCTTTGAACGATAATGGAGCTATATATTTTTAAATAAGATCATCTTTGAGAACTAACAACCACCAAAATAAAAACTAGACAGTCAGGGGGAATCAAAAATTCCAAAAATGTCATGACCATTGATTTTGTTATAATGTTTGAGTAACTCAGATAGCATATGAACAGGGCATAAGCCATGGTAAAATGTATAGAATTACAGGAAATTAGCTTTAAAACTGAACATTTTCTCTCAGACCCATGGCAAAATGTGTAGCATTTCAGGAAATTAGCTTTAAAACTGTAAAAAATGTCTCTCTCCACCCCATGGAGAAATGTGTGGAATTGCAATACATTTGTTTTAAAACAACAACATTTTGCCTCTGCGGCCAAGAGGAGGGTCTCTAGAAATGTTGGTCAGAGACAGCGCCATTGGCCACACCCACTACACGCCCCGCCCCTACACTAACTTTGCCAAAGCTGCTGAAAAATATCCTAGGGGAAACAATGATAAGGGTATATTTATGTTGTTGGGTGTATAATGTCGTGAGAAATAACTTGGACTTCTTTGACTTTATTCATTCATGTGTATGTAACGTCATGTTGGTGTTTCCTTGCCTTGGATGGTGTGCCTTTGGTCGGGCTCTGGTTCCAAGCCTCTCCAGCCTCAAACAACTGCTTCTTGGAGGACACTGCTTCAGGTGACATTGGGATGTCCATCAGGCCCTGTTTGACTGCCTTGGCCTCCTGGGAGTACTACACAACAAAACAATGCAATATACTTTATTGTCCATTTGCATGGAATTTGCATAGAAATAACAGAACTCTAGATCAAAAAGAATAATACTTTATCAAGCTTGTTCACTGATATTTATCAATTCTGATTAGGGGGAAATTAGTATGAAAATGAAGCACAGCAAGTAAAAATGTAGCACAATATTACATAGTTAGACACAATGAGTAACATAAGGCTGGATTCAATCTGTATTGCTGAAGTTCAGCATTATAGCATGATTGAAATTTAAAGGCAATGTACCCGCGTTAGCGGAGACTGCATTCACGGTAAACACTGCATATCTGTCTGCATATCTCGGCTCAGTCGGAAATTACCTTTAAATTTGTAACCCTTCCGCGATACAGATTGAATCGAGCCCATAGTCTTCGGATTATGCAATAGTGGCTTGTGAAATACTGCCCTCACTAGAGAGGAGTAAGAGGACCCCACACTCTTATTCCCTCCCACACACTACTCCCATGTAGTTATAGTATGACTCAGGCATTACCGAGATGAGAAAGCATGCTACGCCTCAAGTGCACATCAATCCTCTCCCAAATGATAGAAGTGGTTTGACGGACTGTACCTGACTAAGGCCAGTTGACTTACTTTGATGTGTGAACACTGACACTCTAGCTGAGGCTGAGGTTTAACCACAGTATATACAGTAACTATGTATGTGTGAGGCTGACACAGTGCGTCACATATAGAGAGGAAGAGAAGGGGACAGAGAAGTCTGGCTCAATAGTCACCAGAAAGCATTCATCACACAGCCATCAATGGGGCCTCTGTCTGTCGGGAGGAAGGGAGGGAGAGAGGAAGGAGGGGGGAGAAACCAGGTGGGAGCTAACCTCGATAGCGTGGGTGTACTGCTCCAGCCTGTCATCGATCTTGGCGAGGAGAACAGGGAGCTGTGTCTTCTTGAAGCTGTTGCTGTATCCAAAACAAAGACGCTCGGTCAGTGAAAATGTTTGGGGGAAGAAAATAATACATTTTAAAGATCTCATCTGACTGGCTACAGGCCCACAAGTGAATGGGGATCATCCTTCCCCTCCCCTAGTGAAATGTCCCTTTTCCACATTGTTTCAGAGTACAGTTGCGATACACCCCCTTTGGTAAAATGAGCCACTTGAATCTGCACTGCCATTAGAGAGTGGATGGAATTGCATGGCCTCTAGCAGCTTCTGTCAACACTGTCTTTCAGGCCCAATATGAAGCTTGCTCACTGACCACAGTGGGACCCAGTGCGAAGGACCCCTACACACGCACAAAGGCACACACACACACACACACACACACACACACACACACACACACACACACACACACACACACACACACACACACACACACACACACACACACACACACACACACACACACACACACACACACAGCCAGCTGCCTAAACCCCACTACACAAGAATCTCAGACATATACACTAAACACAAAAACAAACCATATGGGACTAATCTGGAAATACTGACCCTATTTCCTGCATTTCAACATGGCCCCAAAACCGTTTATATTTTAAAAGAGAGCTCCCATGAAAGGCATGTGTGAGTCATTAGCCTGATATGGCTGGCTAGTTTGAAAATGAAATAGCTTCTTCACAGGCATGGTAGGATTGTTTTAACCTCATAAACGTGCACAGCCCAGAAATCTTTATTTGCTCTGCAAATATGTTAAAATTGGGTTGGCTGAATGATGTCATGCTTTCTATCTGCATGAGCGAAGGCTGTTAAAAGTGAAGGGGTGAAGGAAGCTGTCTGTCACCCGTATTCTTCTCCAGAATGCTTTGATTCGGTCTAACAGTGTTTTGACACACATCATCACGGGAGTGCAACACCCACATCAAAGTACTATCGCACATAGTGATCCCTCCCTCCGTCCTAAAAAAACATCCTAGACTAAAACATGATGTCATACTCAATTCCTCAGATCTCAAACCTGCACCTGGAAGATAAAGTTTAGGGTGTCCAATAAAAAACGCATATTTTGACCAATGGGTATTTTTTTAAATTAAAAATATATGTTAATTGTGTAGATAATCCTCTCTAAGGAAGCGAATGGTCCAACCTCATGACTCTATCATAATCCGTTCAAAAGTTCTTGGAGTTTTTACCATTGTAGGATGGCCAACATTAGGGTGACAATCAATGGAGGCCAGAGGGGAAAAGTGGGCAAAAATAAGGAAAATTCACTTCAGCTAGGCTGGATACTGTGCGAGAACTGTTATTACACCCTATTTTCAGTCACAGTCTTAATATTAATTAAACTCTGGCCTGGTCTCTACTACTCTAGCTGCTGAGAGCTCTTTACCACTGATGACTTACTGCAGTCAGACTGCGTGGAGCCATCCCACAGTCCAGAGCTATAGCTCACCAGCCACCAGAGAGAACCCAGCCAGCCAGCCCAGGCTCCAGCCCTCACATCTGGTCAGAGTTAACCAAGCTATAAATCATCCAGGCTGACAAAGGTGATGCACTGAGAGACATTTAGAGGTCACTGCTGGCCCTCTTTGTCTATGTTTACATTTACACACCAGCCATTTAGCCAGCATAGCTGCTGTTCTGCCTCAGATAGCAGCTCTCCATCCAGGCATCCGCCGAGAGGCCCAGTAAGACTTTGGTCAACCTCAAGATACAACGAAGCATTAGTGAGGGAAGGTATTTGAGAGTTCTATTACCTTACCTATGCACTCACTAAAACTGTAAGTCGCTCTGGATAAGAGCGTCTGCTAAATGACTGAAATGTAAATGTTGTGGAATTTGTTTGTTTGCTTTGTGTTATTCATTGTGAAAATGCCTTGTATGCTTGCATGATGTTCACCTTTTCTTTAGGGACCGGTTCAAGGATTCTGTTCTTTCTGTGATCTGAAAAATATGAAAATGATGTTAAAGGTTATTGTTTTGGAATTAGAATAGAACAGTTGAAGTGTTCCATGACTTCTGGAATTGTCAGACTGGGGATTATCATGATCAATTTGATGTTAATCACAGCCCTGTATTTGGCCTGATGCAACAAATATCTCTTCCAAGTCAAACAGAGAAATCTTCTGCTGGTCTTTATCAACCGTTTCCATCCGCCTGTATCTGTCAGTTCGTATCACCAATGACAGATTTAAGCGAACTCTGCCTCAGTCCAAGGTTTACTGCAGGCAAAATTATAATGCAATCAGGGTGTGGGCAGGCTTCCATCTCAAAATCCATTCCCTATCTTGAATCTGTGTATTTACTGCAATACAGACTGAATCATAGTAAAGAAAAGGTGTTTGGGATTACAAGTCTTAGGCTAGTCATTATCAAAATACTAATACATTTGTATCAGAGGAGTTCTAGTTTGAGGCATGGTCACAATGTCCTGTCGTCTACCCTTGCTTGCCAAAGAGGTCATACTTCAACGTATCCAGCACCAAGCTCTGGTTCTTCCCACACAAAAGGATCCTTTATGTTACTGTTCACTGTTCAGCCCTGGACCTGAATCAAAGAGCACAGCCTGTTGAACCCAACTCACCAATAATGTATTTTCTGCTGTCAAACTCTCATCATTCTCTCTCTGAAATCACACACACAAGCAGATGGAAGCTCATGACAGCACTAAGGATGTAGGCAGACTCAAGGACACCACCATAGCAACCCCATACCCAGAGAGGAAAGTCAACTTAGAAACAAAAGGCAGGAAGTAAAAGTTATAGTAGCTAGCTGAACTTGTTGCCCTTTTGTAGAAGGTGACTGAGAGTTTTTCTTCATTAGTGTTAATACAAGAAGTGAATTCATGAGAGATGAAGAGATGCATCTGACAGTAAATCAAGATCTGAGTGGATTTTAAACCCTGTGTGATCTGACAAGTCTAATCAACTGACAACAAGCAGGAACATTTTACACTACTCAACCCTTCACAACATGCCATGCAGTGCAAACGTCTAAATCCAAACAAATGAACCCATGGAAACACTATCTATAATACTGACAACTAACTATATTACTTAATACCCTACTTTTTAAACAAAGCAAGGTGGAAGGAGTTAAGGACAATAACACAGAACAGTGTAAACACAGGCTGTCACAGCGACCAGTCATTGGAATGGTGGTATCCTATTTGTACATAAAGGCATGCTGTTGGAGCAAACTAACATTACACAAACAGAGACAGGTGGTAGTATTGACACAAAATAGTGAAAACTGATTGACCATAAAGCTGCACATGTCCCACACACACACACACACACACACATCACCTGATCATACTACATGCGCTGTGGTGGAGACAGTGGCAAATGCTGACATTTATAACACTCCCATGCAACTTACGTGATTGAAACTAAACGCAATGGCTGTAAAGATGGTATAAAGTCACATTTTTGTTCTTTTTGTTTGTTTGTAGTAACAACAATATAGAAATACTGTATAGAGCACTCTTTTTTTATACAGAAAACCAAAGGTATCATTACCATTATCCATGATCTCAAAAACTCTCTTCTATATCATCACAAGAATCGTGCTTGTCATATATGACCATAGGCAATAATGACAAACCTGAGAAATAGATGGATGGAACAGAAATGTTAGCTACTGTACCTTGTAGATGGAGCCTTTCGGATTGAGCGGGCTAAACAACTCATCTCCGTCCACGCTGGAGGTACTGAGACTCTTCATCCTCTCTGCTGCCTCCATCCTCCTCCTCTCTATGTCCTCCTTCATCCTCCTCTTCTCTTCCTGTACAGGAAGACACACAATGGTTCAGTATCATACAAGAAGAGGAGGCACAACTCTCTACCACATGAGATCATAGCTACATTACACAGGTGTCATAGGCTCCTTTTGGAGAGCTTATAAGGCAAACAGGTGACTCATTTAGTGAGTGCTATCTTTAGCTGCTGTATACAGTGGGGAAAAAAAGTATTTAGTCAGCCACCAATTGTGCAAGTTCTCCCACTTAAAAAGATGAGAGAAGCCTGTAATTTTCATCATAGGTACACGTCAACTATGACAGACAAAATGAGATTTTTTTTCTCCAGAAAATCACATTGTAGGATTTTTAATGATTTTATTTGCAAATTATGGTGGAAAATAAGTATTTGGTCAATAACAAAAGTTTCTCAATACTTTGTTATATACCTTTTGTTGGCAATGACACAGGTCAAACGTTTTCTGTAAGTCTTCACAAGGTTTTCACACACTGTTGCTGGTATTTTGGCCCATTCCTCCATGCAGATCTCCTCTAGAGCAGTGATGTTTTGGGGCTGTCGCTGGGCAACACGGACTTTCAACTCCCTCCAAAGATTTTCTATGGGGTTGAGATCTGGAGACTGGCTAGGCCACTCCAGGACCTTGAAATGCTTCTTACGAAGCCACTCCTTCGTTGCCCGGGCGGTGTGTTTGGGATCATTGTCATGCTGAAAGACCCATCCACGTTTCATCTTCAATGCCCTTGCTGATGGAAGGAGGTTTTCACTCAAAATCTCACGATACATGGCCCCATTCATTCTTTCCAAAACACGGATCAGTCGTCCTGGTCCCTTTGCAGAAAAACAGCCCCAAAGCATGATGTTTCCACCCCCATGCTTCACAGTAGGTATGGTGTTCTTTGGATGCAACTCAGCATTCTTTGTCCTCCAAACACGACGAGTTGAGTTTTTACCAAAAAGTTCTATTTTGGTTTCATCTGACCATATGACATTCTCCCAATCCTCTTCTGGATCATCCAAATGCACTCTAGCAAACTTCAGACGGGCCTGGACATGTACTGGCTTAAGCAGGGGGACACGTCTGCACTGCAGGATTTGAGTCCCTGGCGGCGTAGTGTGTTACTGATGGTAGGCTTTGTTACTTTGGTCCCAGCTCTCTGCAGGTCATTCACTAGGTCCCCCCGTGTGGTTCTGGGATTTTTGCTCACCGTTCTTGTGATCATTTTGACCCCACAGGGTGAGATCTTGCGTAGAGCCCCAGATCGAGGGAGATTATCAGTGGTCTTGTATGTCTTCCATTTCCTAATAATTGCTCCCACAGTTGATTTCTTCAAACCAAGCTGCTTACCTATTGCAGATTCAGTCTTCCCAGCCTGGTGCAGGTCTACAATTTTGTTTCTGGTGTCCTTTGACAGCTCTTTGGTCTTGGCCATAGTGGAGTTTGGAGTGTGACTGTTTGAGGTTGTGGACAGGTGTCTTTTATACTGATAACAAGTTCAAACAGGTGCCATTAATACAGGTAACGAGTGGAGGACAGAGGAGCCTCTTAAAGAAGAAGTTACAGGTCTGTGAGAGCCAGAAATCTTGCTTGTTTGTAGGTGACCAAATACTTATTTTCCACCATAATTAGCAAATAAATTCATAAAAAATCCTACGATGTGATTTTCTGGAAATGTTTTTCTCAATTTGTCTGTCATAGTTGACGTGTACCTATGATGAAAATTACAGGCCTCTCTCATCTTTTTAAGTGGGAGAACTTGCACAATTGGTGGCTGACTAAATACTTTTTTCCCCCACTGTAGTTGCTTAAGATATGCGGTGATGTGTTTATCATAGTGATAGGTCGTTCACGAACGAACAGCTCTTTTTGAATGGATCTTTTTGGTGAACGTCAGGAACCGAATCACATCAGTGAAAGAGCGGTTCATTTTGCTAATTGATTTGCATGCTGCTAGTACTGCTTTTTGAGCTCCAGACAACGATTATCTGCAGATAAGTTATAACAACATTCTATGAAGAACATTCTCACTGCAGGAACAATGGATAATGAGAGACAGCCTCATTCATGTCCATGCTCATTTTTGCAGTGCATAAAAAAAGAAAAAAATCCAATTTCATAATTTGGTCAGGTAAAAATTCAATAGAACCAACTGTTAGGCTTAACATTAGAGATTTGCTATTTTTTCATGGTTCTAGGTCAATTTTTAAATAGCAACTGCCTCTAAAAAACAACTTTTCATTTAGAAAACAGCCTATGTGGCATCGATATGAGTCAGAAACATTTATTATACAGTCAAACTTGACTACAAAGTGTAAATAGGATAATTTTGGTCATAAAGTCATTCTTGTCCAAAACTAAGTTTTGTGAGACTTGTGGTTGTGACTGCAACACAATGTAAATGAAGGTTGGGTTTGTTTCAATCCTGGCCACATGCTCACAGCTGGCAGCACACAAGTAATCATCAATTCAGAGTGCAGCTGCACGTGACCCAATTGTAATGCCCGTGGTACATTTGGGTTGACTTTAGATATCCCAAATAGCTTCACATCTCACAGCTTCACATTACTTAAAAACCTCAAACCAACTCTAATTATGCTGTGGATTATGTATTAAACCACCCAGACACATCAAAGATACAGTCTTCCTTCTGAACTGAGCTGCAGGACAGGACTTAAACTGCTCAGGGATGTCATTGGTGATTTTAAAACAGTTACAGGGTTCAATGTCTGTGATGGGAGAAAATTGAGGTTCGTTCAACAACATTGTAGTGACTCAACAATGACTTAAATGACAAAGTGAAAAGAAGAATGGAAAATATACAGAATAACAACATTATTGTATGCAACAAGGCAATAAAGTAATACTGCAAAAAACAAAACAAAGAAATACACTTTTTGGCCTACATGTCACTGAGTAACTTCCTCCTTATTTTCAAGCATGGTGGTGGCTGCATCATGGTATGGGTATGCTTTACATCGGCAAATACTGAGGAGTTTTTCAGGATAAAAAGAAATGGGATGGCGCTAAGCACAGGCAAAATCCTACAGGAAAACCTGCTTCCGTCTGCTTTACACCAGACACAGGGAGAGGAATTCACCTTTCATCAGGACAATAAGCTACAACACAAGGCCAAATAAACACTGGAGTTGCTTACCAAGAAGACTGTGAATGTTCCTGAGTAGCCAAGTTACAGTTTTGACTTAAATCTGCTTGAAAATCTATGGCAAGACTTGAAAATTGCTCTCTAGACATAATCCCCAACATCTTGACAGAGCTTGAAGAATTATGAAAATAATAATGGACAAATATTACACAATCCAGGTGTGTAAAGCTCTTAGTGACTTCCAAAGGTGTTTCTAAAATGTATTGATTTAGGGAGCGGAATACTTGTGCAACGACTATATTTTAGTTATTTAATTTAATATTAATCATAAAAATAAAAATAAAAATAAATGTACACTTTGACGTTACAGAGTATTTAGTGTAGATTGTTGTAAGCTGACATATGGAATTGTTTTAAGAAGGTCATACTATGGATCCTTAAGGTATTTGATTTTGAATTTTAGGACCCCTTTAGGTATAAAAAATATATATAAAAAACGTTTTGATAAAATATTGAATTTAGCCTTTACTACTATAGCCCAGAAAAACACATTGAATAACAAACTCAAAAATGGCAAAAAAGACAGTCAAAAAATTAATCATAAATAAATATTTGTAGTTATTGCATTTTTTACACTTTTTTGGGCAGGCACAAAACTACCTTCATACTTCCATTCATTTTTTTAACCGGTACCGGTTACCTTCAGACGAGTCCCCTGACACTTGTGGGGGCTGTAGAGCAAAACGAAGATCACCATTGTGTTCGTTAGAGTCTCTCCTTTCCATAGAGTGGTCAGTTCGTAGGTCAAACTGTTCGGATGCTACAGATGTTTTCAGACGTTTTCGGGAGAAGACCGATTTTCGGGATGTCTCATCGTCTGACAAACACCACTCTAACTCTTCCACTTTTCACCGCAGATGCAGAAGTGCGACATTGGCGGATGTGGTGGATTGATACGCATATCTCTAGCTTAAACTGATGGATTTTGATGGGGATGTTTGTATTATGTTGTATTATGTTACTTAATACACGATAACATTTGAAGAACATTTGTGTGGTCCTCTGTAGCTCAATTGGTAGAGCATGGCACTTGTAATGCCAGGGTAGTGGGTTCGATCCCCGGGACCACCCATACGTAAAAATGTATGCACACATGACTGTAAGTCGCTTTGGATAAAAGCGTCTGCTAAATGGCATATTATTATTATTATTAAGAAATACAAGGGGTATGAATACTTTTGCAAGGCACTGTACACATATTGAAAGCATTTCATTAGAAAACTAAAAGGTGTGCAACATGAAAATATATCATTTACATTGAGTCATTTATTGACGGCCCCTAACTACCCCGGATATAGTCTATCCAAAGTCAAACCAATTTTGCATGAGTCGCACACCAGCCATCTGAAGCTAATTGGCAAAATAATTTGGCTGACTCTTCCCACCTGCGAACACACAAGACACCCACATCAAACCACACTCCAAAACAACTCATGTTTGAATTCAGTCATGGCTGCCAGCATTTCTTAATGAACCAAATCTAAAATGAGGCCAAATTAGGAAGTGCAGTCGCCCTTTAAGAACTACTGAAGGAAGAGCAGTTGGGATCCAAATTAACGGCTCTTTGAACAGAGTCAAATGAACTGGCTTACCGAAAAGACTCAGAATACCCATCACTATATACAGTTTTGTGGTTAAAAAAATACTGTAGGTGGGAAAACTCTGACCGTGGTTGCGGTGAAAAAGTTACTCTCCCTATACTTTCAATGCATTTTCCGGAAAAAGTGGGTAAACTGTCACAAAAAAGGTGGGTAAACTGCGTTTACTTGCGTTTACCCTGCACTACACCACCGGCTGATGTGTAAGATATTAATAATAATAATAATATGCCATTTAGCAGACGCTTATATCCAAAGCGACTTACAGTCATGCGTGCATACATTTTTTTTTTTTTTTGTGTATGGGTCTCTTTCTGTTTGTGTTTCTTAATGCCGAAGGCTATACACATTATGTATGTACACAGTAGTTGACCATCACCTCATCCTTGGCCAGGCGCTGCTGCTCCTCCTCCCTGCTCCTGCGCTCCTCCCCCTCCCTGACCTGGCGTCTCTCCTCCCTCCTCCTCTTCAGCTCCTCCAGCTCCTGCTCGGCCTCAGCCTGCTTGTGTCTGAGCTGCTCAAGCTCCTGGTTTTCCTTCTCCGTGTGGCTACGTCGGATCTTCTCCAGCTTGGCCTCTAAGATGGCCTCTGCCTCCTCCTCAGGCTCGACCGCTGCAACTTGTACCACAGCCCTGGGAGAGATGGAGGGATAGATGGAAGGATGACTGGAGGAAAAAAAGAGGTTAAATACAGGGGCAGGATTTCAATAAATATCTCTGTCTCCTAATAGTTTCCACCATCCTAATAGTTTAGAATGTGAAACGTCTAGGAGTCATGTAGGGGGGAATTCTGACCTGAGGTTATCACGCGTAAATGAAAGGTAATTCCCTTTTTTGCACTTTTCTCTCTACACGTATTCTGACTTGACCCGCTATTCAGTTGGGGTGAAGATCAAAGAAATTAAAGTGTGGCGGAGGTGTGTCTGCAGATACGTATTCTGACCTTGACTTAATTCCCTCATAATTCCACCACCTTTAAGCACGATGAAATAATGAATAAGGTCGAGCAACCTGTCGTTTCCAAGTGGAACAACATCTACTTAATTTTTTCCCCCATAGAAATAACACCATGCTCCATGCACTGTAATTTACAAATTGATAAGAGCTATAGATAAGAGCTAGGTAAATTAGTAAGCCGTTTGGATAAGGGGATTGTAAATATAAATGACAATTTTACCTTATGATCGCGAAAGACAAATGTGAAACGAGTCATATGGCAACAAACTGAAACATATCAACATATAACCTTTTCCGCAGTGAAGTTTATGCTGGCCTTATAATTTGGGATGAAGTTTGGAAATGGCAATATAGCGCCAAACCTACCAAGTTGCTTTATGATTTCTTGAATGTTTTAATTATATGCCTGGACTTTTTACTGTATTATTTACAATTTGTATGATGTTAAATATGAGCCACTATCGGTAGCCACCGTCAGTTATACCCACATACATTTCAAACGGTCACTGACTTTAATCTTAGTTTCTTTACATTTTGCATCATTAGCCTACGTCGTTAGTTTACCTTCCTTTCCTCTGTCACGTTCGTGTGGTTGTTCCTGAGGATCGCAAGCAATAGTGGATCATATTAGGCTAACGTATTACAAGTTGTGCAATCATTTCAGGCGTGTAGCCTATTTGAATCATTATGGAACGCAGACCATACGCAGCAGTTTAAACCTGAAACCTGTTGCGTGTTTCACGATGACAGTTCCATGATTAGTGAGGATTATTAGGGTAGCTTTATAGGACTACTGTTCAACCCCTATTGGACACTTTTCTCACCTTCCAATATTTAATGTATTGAACAATTGACTATGGTAACTTTCAGGATTAATCAAACCACTGTATTTGTGATACACCAATATATTTTCTTGCGTAAAGGCTCTCAAAACCAGTTTTTATTTATTTATTATTTATTCAATACTTTAAATACTAACCCTAACTAACCACAATTTGTTACTTTACAGCCTTATTCTAAAATGGATTAAATCGTTTTTTCCCATCATCAATCTACACAAAATACCCCATAATGACAAAGCAAAAACAGATTTTTAGAAATGTTTGCAAATGTTTTAAACATAAAAAAAGGAAATATAACATTTACATAAGTATTCAGACCCTTTACTCAGTACTTTGTTGAGAAGCACCTTTGGCAGCAATTACAGCCTTGAGTCTTCTTGGATATGACGCTACAAGTATTTGGGGAGTTTCTCCCATTCTTCTCTGCAGATTCTCTCAAGCTCTGTCAGGTTGGATTGGGAGCGCTGCTGCACAGCTACAGTGGCTTGCGAAAGTATTCACCCCCCTTGGCATTTTTCCTATTTTGTTGCCTTACAACCTGGAATTAAAATAGTATTTTGGGGGGTTTGTATCATTTCATTTACACAACATACCTACCACTTTGAAGATGCAAAATATTTTTGAGTGTACGGCTTAAAGTGGTCCTATGGACAGATACTCCAATCTTCAATGTGGAGCTTTGCAGCTCCTTCAGGGTTATCTTTGGTCTCTTTGTTGCCTCTCTGATTAATGCCCTCCTTGCCTGGTCCGTGAGTTTTGGTGGGCAAACCTCTTTTCGCAGGTTTGTCGTGGTGCCATATTCTTTCCATTTTTTAATAATTGATTTAATGGTGCTCCGTGGGATGTTCAAAGTTTCTGATATTTTTCTGTAACCCAACCCTGATCTGTACTTCTCCACAACTTTGTCCCTGACCTGTTTGGAGAGCTCCTTGGTCTTCATGGTGCCGCATGCTTGGTGGTGCCCCTTGCCTAGTGGTGTTGCAGACTCTGGGGCCTTTCAGAACACGTATATATACTGAGATCATGTGACAGATCATGTGACACTTAGAATGCACACAGGTGGACTTTATTTAACTAATTATGTGACTTCTGAAGGTAATTGGTTGCACCAGATCTTATTTAGGGGCTTCATAGCAAAGGGGGTGAATGTATATGCACTCACCACTTTTCCGTTATTTATTTTATATAATTTTTTGAAACAAGTTATTTTTTTCATTTCACTTCACCAATTTTGAGTATTTTGTGTATGTCCATTACATGAAATCCAAATAAAAATCTATTTAAATTACAGGTTTTAATGCAACAAAATAGGAAAAACGCCAAGGGGGATGAATACTTTTGCAAGGCACTGTATTTCCAGGTCTCTCCAGAGATGTTAGATCGGGTTCATGTCCGGGCTCTGGCTGGGCCACTCAAGGACATTCAAAGACTTGTCCCAAAGTAACTCCTGCGTTGTCTTGGCTGTGTGCTTAGGGTCATTTTCCTGTTGGAAATCTTTGGTCGTGAACGCTCTGGAGCAGGTTTTCAACAAGGATCTCTCTGTACATTGCTCCGTTCAGCTTTCCCTCACTCCTGACTAGTCTCCCAGTCCCTTCCGCTGAAAAACATCCCCACAGCATGATGCTGACACCACCATGCTTCACCGTAGGGATGGTGACAGGTTTCCTCCAGGCGTGACACTTGGCATTCAGCCGAAATAGTTAAATCTTGGTTTCATCAGATCAGAGAATGTTGTATCTCATGGTCTGTGAGTCCTTTAGGTGGCTTTTGGCAAACTCCAATCGGGCTGTCGTGCCTTTTAATGAGGAGTGTCTTCCGTCTGGCCACTCTACAAAAAAGGACTGATTGGTGTAGTGCTGCAGAGATGGTTGTCCTTCTGGAAGGTTCTCCCATCTCCACAGATGAGCTCTGGAGTTCTGTCAGAGTGACCATCGGGTTTTTGGTCACCTCCTTGACCAAGGCACTTCTCCCCCGATTGCTCAGTTTGGCCGGGCGGCCAGCTCTAGGAAGAGTCTTGATGGTTCCAAACTTCTACCATTTAAGAATGATGGAGGCCCCTGTGTTCTTGGGGACCTTCAATGCTGCAGACATTTTTTGGTACCCTTCCCCAGATCTGTGCCTCGACACAATCATGTCTCGGAGCTCAACGGAAAATTCCTTCGACCTCATTCCTAGTTGTAGAAACATCTCAAGGATGACCAATGGAAACAGGATGCACCTGAGCTCAATTTCGAGTTTCATAGCAAAGCGTCTGAATAATTATGTAAACAATGTATTTCTGTTTTTAAAAACAATAAATTCTTAAAACCTGTTTTCGCTGTGTCATTATGGGGTATTGTGTGTAGATTGATGAGGAAAATGTTGTATTTAATCCATTTTAGAAAAAGGCTGTAACATAACAAAATGTGGAAAAAGGGATGGGGTCTGAATACTTTCCGAATGCAGATCAGAGTATTTTTACATCTACCAAGTGGTGCTGAAAAGGAGACGAATATGTGTGCATTTACATGACTTTCTTTCATTGATCCCTAATATTCTGAACTGTTTTCTCCATATATTCTAGTGAGTCTGTCGAGAAAATTCAAATGAAAGGTACACCAAATTTAAAGGGATGGCTTTAGATTAATGTACTTAAAATGCTGCTGAATGAAAACTCCACGAGAAAATCTGTTGGCCAGCAAGTGGGAGGGTTGAATTATATGTATTCAGAGCACGCAAGGGAACAACACCTGCAATGCCCATTACGCATCTGCATAAGGTAAGTCTGAATACCAACTACTGAGAAGTGCATAAGAAAGGCGTACATATCCTAAGTCTGAATCCGTCCCAATGTGAACTGCAATGTGATTTTCTTGCCGTGTAATTGAATGTGGAAGCAGATCTAGTGATACATATCCATAAACCATAATTCACCATGATTTACCTGGGAGCTCTTAATTTGGTTTTGGCCATGTATGATGTAAATTCCTCCCCAGCTGTGTCTCCGTTGGTGTTACCATGCTTTGTCTCTGTATGCAGGACAACTTGGGATGTGTAAGAGACCTTCACATCTTTTATCTTCTCTTTCAACTGGGGCTGTAAAGAACATTAAACATCTCCCTGGTTGACTACTTCAAGGACATACATTTTTGAATAATCATATTCATAATCATATTACATTTCTTAATTAATCACATATTAGCATATAATTACAAATAAAAATATTTATTTCAGTAATGCACAAGAGTACCTTCTCCTCAGCATCTGGTCTTTGGTCCTCCTCTCTCTTCTTGAGAACCCTCATTTGCTCCTGCCTCTGTTTCTCTGCCTCCTCTTCTCTCTCCCTCTCCTTTTGCACCCTCTCTTCTCTAACCACCTCCTCCTCTCGCTCCCTCCTTTTCCTCTCACTTTCCTTTCTTCCCAACTTCTTCTCTTCCTCATCCTCCGCTTCTGCCTTGTGTTGTCTCTGCAGACGAGAGGTGGATGTGGTGGGGGTGGCTGAGGTAGAGAGGGTATGTGGTGTGGGGGCCTTTGCGGCACCGTTCAGGGGCCTCTGGTCCTGCTCCTCTGGGGCCTGACTGAGCTCCTCCATGCGCTGGGCCTGCTGCCGGCATCTCTCCAGCCGCTGGGTCCAGTCACTGAAGCCCTCGTCCTCCTCCAAAGAAGGAGAGCTGCTGCTAGGCTTCAGATCACTCTCATACCTGGGACACAAAGAGGAGCATGGAGAGATAAAACGATCTTAGTGCCACAAGGGTTTTGGGAACTCAACCAAGAATAGCTAATGATGTTCATCTAAATGGTGACCTAACCTTTTGTAAGTCCATTTGTAGGCAATGGACAAAAAAAGGATGTTGGTGCTACAAATGTTTTGGGAAACTCACCCCTGGTCTGAGAGTGAAGTAGACTTTGCTAGCTACAGTTTATAACATGAAAGGCCTATAGGGGTGCTTGAATGCAAGGATTGCCTAACCGACCCCTAACTGAGCCTCAAAACATTATAGTCAATACTAATTTACAACCCTTGACAATGTCAGGAAGCCCTTAAAGAATGTGACAAGGAAGAACAAATCCAGATAAAACTAGCCATCACGGCTATAATGTTCAATCCCCTTTGAATAAGTGCCTGTAAATCCAGAGTCAGATGGTGGGGAAAGGACTACAGCTTTGTAATATGACCACCATCGAGGTGTTTTCGTTGGCGTGAAACATCTCAAAGTGCCAAACTTGTTCTGTAGTATGTGGCAAACATGGCTTCTATGGAATGTGCCAAACATGGCTTCTATAGAATGTGCCAAACATGGCTTCTATAGAATGTGCCAAACATGGCTTCTATAGTATGTGTCAAACATGGGTTCTATAGTAAAGTCTAAACATGTCAACTACAGTGTCAGTAAGAGCGACCTTGGCCCACACACAGTTTACAAAGCTGTCTCCCAGCGGCCCAGCGAGTGCTGGGGGGTGGAGGGATGGATAACAGGATGAGAGGTGTAAATGAGGACTGGAGCTGCTGAGCCCATCTATTAACACCAACAGGACCAAATCAAACACACAATGCAGGGAAACAGCTGGAACAGCCCTCTGTAGACTCTGGTGTTGTTTCTCCAGGTTGGTCCATATTGACATGGCTGTGGTCCAGATGAAACAGAAGATATGTTAACTACCCTTTCATCACCACACAGCCATTTTGTCCTCACCACAACACCTGCCGAATAGACATAGTGTTTTTCTTATCTTAGTTACAAAACGACCACAGTCACTGCACGATACCTGCCTCTAGAGTCTAGACTAACAATGCGTTGCTTTTCTTCTTATAACACGACCGCAGTCACCACACGATACCTGCCTCTAGACTAACACTGTGTTTCTTATTTTCTTATAACGCGACCGCAGTCACCACACGATACCTGCCTCTAGACTAACACTGTGTTTCTTATTTTCTTATAACGCGACCGCAGTCACCACACGATACCTGCCTCTAGACTAACACTGTTTCTTATTTTCTTATAACGCGACCGCAGTCACCACACGATACCTGCCTCTAGGCTAACACTGTGTTTCTTATTTTCTTATAACGCGACCGCAGTCACCACACGATACCTGCCTCTAGGCTAACACTGTGTTTCTTATTTTCTTATAATGTGACCGCAGTCACCACACGATACCTGCCTCTAGACCAATACTGTGTTGCTTTCCATACAACACGACCACAGGACATTTAGTAGTTTTATTTCACTGGGTGAACTTTACAGGGGTCTCCTCAGGTTAGTCCAAACATCTGCATCTGGCTGAATGACTCCATGAACCTTCTATCAATTACCAGAGGACGTGATTAACAGATTAGCAGCGCACCTCTACTTCTTTATTCTCTCTATTCCCCATTCATTAAAACAGTCCTGTAATGAAAGTCTGTTTCATCTTCGCAGGAGCTGGCTGAATGGAATGCTCCCACCAGGCATTCCAATGTTGATTAAACAGGTTAGCTACTAAAGTAAATGGATGTTTCCAGATGGCAGGTTATATATATATATATATATATATATATATATTATCAGAAATAATGGGCAGTAATTGTGGTGGTTGGATTCTTTAGGTGTTTCGTCATGTAGATGTTGTTTAGATGTTATGAAGTGGTTTGTTCTGGCACCAAAGACACTACGCTATAAAGGCTACAGGCACCTGTTGGAGAGGAATGTTTGTGCAATGGCTCTGACATGTCATGATACTTTAATGACTCTGAAAACAACAAGAAAGGAAGCAGGTCTGAATCTGGGCTGGCAATTACGTTGTTGAGAGAGCAGTGTCAACGACACAGAGATTGAATAACAGCAAACCCGAAACCAATCTTGACAGTTGTCTTGAAGTTTGATCTCTCTGAACTATTATGACCGTATCATTTATAAAGAGGAAAATTAAGGTTACTTGTGTAACCCCGGTTCTCTGATATTATGAGTGAGATACTGTATCTCACAGTGGGATCCACCAGAATCTCTAAGTAGCTCGAAGAACAAATCATACACGTCTGTCGGAGACAGACAGATCGAGTGGCGAATGAGGGATCCCCTCCCCTCATACTAAAGAGCCACTCGCCCGCACTCTGATCATTCTTGAGCATACTGAACTTCTTCTCACTCATATATCAAAGAACCAGGGTTACCCAAATAACATAAAGTTATCTTTCAATTATTTGTTTCAATAGTTCACAGTGGGATATGGCCAACTCCCGTATCGCACATGCTCTACAAATCCATGCAGTCTCACACATCAACCCTCAGAGGCCCCGACACTGAGGGCAGTATGCGCCAATGAAGGTACAGTGATGTCTAGTCGGTAGAACCTCATAAAAATATGAGGGGATGCCAAACAAGCAGCATCACAAATCTTCTGTAAGGAGATGCCCTTGAACAGTGCCCTCTGGTGAAGTGAGCCCTCAGGCCCTCCAGAGGCTGGAACCCCTTACTATTCTAGGCCAATATAATAGCTCCCACAATCCAATGTGACAACCGTTGACGAGAGAGGGGCCTCCCCTTACAGGGAGGTGCCCAGGACACAAGGGTTGGTCGCTCTTGTGCATAGCTCTCGTCCTATCCAAGTATATGCGCAACGCGCACACTGGACACAAACGGTGGAGCCGCTCCTCTTCTGTAGAAGGGAAAGGCGGCAAGTGGAAAGCAACAAGCTCCAAGGCGAGACAATTGTAATTGCCGCTGACCTTAGGCAAAAAGACGGGGTTGGGCAACAAGGTAACCTTGGGAAATCCCCTGGCAAACTGTAGTCACGAATGGTGAGCTGACAGTGCATGTAGCTCGCTTTGCGAACCTAAGGGCGACCAGTAAAGCGGTCTTAAAGGAGGGGTATTTAATCTCCACACTTTCCAGAGGCTCAAAAGGCTGCTATGAAATAGCTTCAAGCTCAATAAACAATTCCCATGACGGGACTAAAGGTTGGGAACTGGATGTAAGCGACACACCCCCTTCATGAAACGACATAACAAGGGGTGTTTTCCCACCTTGTCCTTGTCTAAGCCTATATGACAGGCCAAGATAGTGGCTAGATAGACCTTAACAGTGGAGAAAGCCTTCCCTCTGTCCAAAAGGAAGCATAAAACCTCAGATAGATAGCATTGGGAAAGGGGGATACCTAGTCAGTTATAAAACTGAATGCATTCAACTGAAATGTGTCTTCCGCATTTAACCCAACCCCTCTGAATCAGAGAGGTGTGGGGGGCTGCCTTAATTGACATCAGTACCCGGGGAACAGTGGGTTAACCGCCTTGTTCAGGGGCAGAAGGACAGATTTTTACCTTGTCAGCTCGGGGATTCGATCCAGCAACCTTTAGGTTACTGGCCCAACGCTCCTACCCGCCAGGCTACCTGCCGCCCCGTTGGTAAGGAATGATCAGTTTTTGGTCACACTCCATACAGTGAGTGTATAGAAGGAGCCCTAGCACTCTGGATAGTCTCAATGACTCCGGGAGGCAAGCCTGTCGCATCCAGATTTAACCTCTCAAGGGCCAGGCCCAGAGGGATATGGTATCCGGTTAAAGGGGGGAAACTCTCTCTGATCGCTTGGGTCAGCAGATCCCTGCATAATGATCTCCGCTATCCAGAGCTTGCCTTGCCGTCTGAATACTTTCCGAAGTATCCATAAAAATTATACTGATTCATGATTTCGACTGGCTGAGAAAAGCTGCCTACCTCTGTCTCATCCTGACTCCTGACACTTTCATTACTATGGGACAGCTGGAGATCGAATTTGAATATTTAAACAATGTTGCAAATGTCAGAGAGACAGACAGCAAGGTTTATACAAATATAATAATAATAATAATATGCCATTTAGCAGACATCTGTTGTTGAAAACTAAATGTTAGTCTAAAAGAAATGTGAGATAACGTCTACCAGCTTTTTATAGTGGAGATCAAGTTTATAAATTGCCTGGCTGGGCTGATGAGACAGTGGATTGCGCAGTCAGATGGAACAGAGTAAATAGGCATTTTAATGTCATAGAATTAGCCGGTGATAACGTGTGGAATAGACAGCAGCTGGAATGCAGTTTTAATCAATCAGCATTCAGGATTAGACCCACCCGTTGTATACTACATATTATAATAAGGTATACCACCTTATTGTATCCAACAATGGCATTTACATAGGCTTTTAGGGAACTCATACACTGAAGCTACAAAATTGTTAATATTCAATCTTAACACGTGATAACTGCAACAGAACAGATGAAACGGAGAGACATTTACTTTCATGGGTGGTTAAAAATAACTATTTGAAGGCCACGCCCCTACTAAACTACGCCTCCGGTCTTCTGATCTGACCCACTGTGTCATATCTCAATAATCCAGCACCAATAACCCAGCATCCAGTATCAATAACCCAGCAGTTTTTAAAGAAAACAACCCAACTATGTGACCCATCGCCTGCAACCCAGCAGTTGCAGGCGATGAGTCGCCACTCGACCTGTCTGTCTCTGACAGACGTGTTTGATTGGTTCTTCGAGCTACATAGAGATTCTTGTGAATGCCTCTGTAAAATATCAAAACGAATAATTGAAAGAGAACAGTTAGTGCTTGAAACAGTTTGGTAATTTCCCCATGCCTGTTTTATGATCAAGCAACAATTACATGTCAAGTCATTCACTACGGTTTAGAAACGTGGAGCCATTGACATGATCGGCTGTTTTTACTCTCTC